GAGTTTTAGCCCCTTCAACTGTGAGAAAATAAATTTCTATTTGCTAAAACCACCTACTTGTGATATTTCTGTTACAGTTGCACTAAATAACCATGGCAATCATTTTGGTGACTGAAGTGTGCTTGATCCAAGTCATGGTCTTTTCAATTGTTCCGTATATATGTGAAATCGAGACAATGAAAAGGCAGGCAGAACTGATGCATTCAAACTGTGGTGTTGATGAACACTGAATACATATACCTTTAGTGGACAAATCAGCACTGGAAGAAATACAAACAGAATGTTCTTTATAAGCAAAGATGGATATTATGCTGGGCTATCACTTACTTTGGGTGTACCATTAAGAAAGACCATTTACTAGAAAGGACACCATGTTTGGTAAAGTAGGTCAGTGAAACACTCCATGAGAATTTGCTGGACAGTACATTAGAAGGTGACCTGATAATGCTCATTTTAATTTTAAACAATATTTTTAGCTCCTGTATTTCACATACTGCCAAGAAGGCCTCTGCCTTGTAGAAATGAAATAAAGTTTTATAAATATGAAAATAAAATTTAAATTTCAAAGTAAAGGAAACATAGGAAAATATTTCCTAATAAACAATAGGGAATTTTGGAGGTCAAGATTAGACATTATTTCCTTTTCTACATTAATATATGCACAATTAGCTCATTTATACATCTATACCTCCTCTATTTTAAGGCCAAAATGAAAAAAAAAACAACATTCCACTCAAAGCATTCCCTCTACTTAGAAACTGCAAAAAGCTATGCATATAAACAGCAATGGGGAATCCAGTCTCCAAAATACTATATATTGTAAATTAAATTACACAAGAAGTTGAAGAACTTGCAAAACAACAGAATAGTGGTGGTGGTTGAGTAGTAGACATAGAAGGGCACACAGAAGTCTTCTGAAGTCTTTAATGCATTCTATATATTCTCAGCTAGGTGGTGGTTCCATTGAATTGTACATTTGGCACTTAAACATTTTACTATGTTATATGTCTTGATTACTGTATTTTTTTTAATCTTTTAAAAATATAACCAAGAACCAAGTTCTGTGCAGCATGTTTTGCTCTTTTTTTAAAAAAATTATTTATTTTTATCATTGTATTAGGGGCTCATACAACTCTTATCACAATCCATACATGCATCAATTGTGTACAGCACATTTGTACATTCATTGCCCTCATCATTCTCAAAACATTTGCTCTCCACTTAAGCCCCTGGCATCAGGTCCTCTTTTTTCCCTCAATGTTTTGCTCTTTCAAGATGGACGAAGGACTTACTTAGAAGAAACATGTCTAATGTACTTATAAAGGAGGTCTTCTCCTTCAACCATCTTCCCAATAGTCTCAAAATTCACTGCCATTGAGTGACCTTATAGGACAGGGCTGAACTGTCCCTGTGACTTTTCAAGACTGTAACTCCTTACAGAAGAAAGCCTTGTCTTTCTCCTAAGGTGAGGCTAGTGATTTTTAATTTTGGACTTTGCAGTTAGCAGACCAATATGCAACCTTCCCAATAGTCCAGCAGGAATAAAAAATAACAACCAAAAAGGCCAAAGGATGTTTGAATTTCATCATTGTAGGATATTTAAAGAACAAGTTCCCAGGCCCTTTTTCCAGCAAATCAAACGTAAAGTAAAAGACAACTGAAGGGAAATCAATGTAAAAATTCATCTTTTAATCATCCTTTGGTATATTATCTTCTATATTGCTCATGGTCATAACTATGTATACATCTTTCTAGAATTTCCATTTTAATTTTACTTTGGCAATTTTGAAGAGGGTAAAATAATAGAAAAGTTTTATCTAAATTTAAGTCAACACCTTTATTGCCAATTTTTTTCATTTTTAGTGAAGGGCAATCATAAATATTAAACAGTGAAGAAAATGAAAAATCCCTTTCTATCTAGGCTTTAAAATGAAAATATCAAGGGCAAAACAAAAGTTATTACATAGAGTTGTTAGGTAAAATGAAATGCTGGAATCCACTTGTTGGTTTTGTGTTCAGAACTATAAACAACGAGGCACAATATTAATACATCACATCGCACACACAGAAGCTGGATTATATGAAGACTACCGTGGCATCAGGAATGGAGGAAGGCTTATTAACAACTTGCAATATACAGGTGAAACAAACTTGCTTGCTGAAAGCGAGGAGGACTTGAAGCACTTGATGAAGATCAAGGATGGCAGCCTTCAGTATGAATTCCAACTCAATGTAAAGAAAACCACAATCCTCACAACTGGACCAGTAGGTATTATCTTGATAAATGGATAAAGATTTAAGTTCTCAAGGATTTTGTCTTGCTTGGTTCCACAATCAATGCTCATGAAAGTTGCAGTCAGGAGATCAAAGGACACATTGCAGTGGGTAAATATGCTGCACAAGACCTCTTTAGGATGCTGAAAAGCAAGGATGTTACTTGAGGACTAAGGTGTGCCTGACCCAAGGCAAGCCATGGCATTTGCAAAGGCCTTCAGATGCATGTGGAAGTTTGGACACTGAATAAGGAATTCCGACTGAAGAACTGATCTATTTGAATCGTGGTGCTGTAGAAGGCTGAAAGTACCATGGCCTGCTAAAAGGACAAACCAATCTGTCTTAGGGGCAAGGAACCCAAGACTTAGTGTTACATACTTTGGACATGTTGTTAGGAGACAAGTCCATGGAGAAGGACATGCTTGGGAAAGGAGAGGGGCAGCGGAACAAGAGGAAGACCATCCCTCCATGAGATGGATGGCAGTGGCTGCACAGGGGTCATTGTGAACATGGTGCATGGCCCAGCAGTTTGTTCTGCTATGGGTTGAAACTGACACAATGTGGCGGCACCACCACCCACCAACCACATGGAATCAGCAAATGCATTGCTTCAGATATTTTGACATCAGCAAAAATGAGAACCACACTCACCTTAAGGAAGGTGTTTCTGGGAACTGATGCTTCTTTCACCCTGCAAATCATTTTTTTTGAAATTTATCATTTTATTGGGAGCTCTTAAAGATATCCTAACATTCCATAGGTCAATCACATCAAGCAGTATTATACAATTGTTACCACAATCAGTTTCAAACATTTTCTTTCTTCTTGAACTCCTTGATCTCAGCTCTCCTTTATCCACTTCCCCAACCCTTAATATAATTTTTCCTATAATAGCTTTTTTTAAAAGGTATCTTACACAGTCTTTTTTATTTTAAGTGACAATAAGTACAAAGGCCTTCATGCATATGTCAGGATTCAGGTCCAAGTCCTGCAACACAATACCAGAAGGCTTCATACTCTTGGCAAGGTTTTAGTTAACCGAAGGGAAAAATGTTCCGTGTAAGGAACTTAAATGAACACATCTACGGAAAAAAAACAACAAGAAGAAGCTTAAAAACCTCAGGGCCTGGGAGCAGAGTTGTAAGACATTGCCCAGCACTAGAGCTTTAAGGATTTCTGAGTTCGGGGTTTTTATCTTCTCCTTTTAACACGGGCCTGTAAGAGTGAGGGAGAGCGGGGCGGAGGGGGTGCTCGGGGCGAGGGCGAGCGTTAGGAAGCAGGCACCCATTGGGAGGAGGAGCGAAAGAAAAGAGTAACACTTTTGAAAGGCACTTTCGGGCTACAAAGTACTCTCAATTTTTATCGCACTAGATACACTGTCCTTTTCGCTAACCTCTAGCATTTGACAAACTCCCAATCGGAGTCCTCTTCGAATCACCATTCCCAAGGCAGGCAGCAGCACCATCCACGAGTCCCACAGGCTCCGCCCCTCGGACGCCGCGCCGACCCTCGGCGCCGGCGGGACGCGCACGTCACTCGCTCGCAGCCAATCGGCGCCCGGCAGGTCACCTCTCCTCGCAGGCCTGCAGCTCCACTCCTTCCCGCCGGCCGCAGGGAACCGGATCCAAGGAGCACCGCGGACCCCGGCGGCTTCCGCTCTGGGCGCAGGCGCGGCAGTTCGCCCCGGGGGAGCGAAGCGGGTCGCGGGTCGCGGGTCGCGGGTGCAGAGCGGCGACGATGGTGCTGGAGAGCGTGGCCCGCATTGTGAAGGTGCAGCTCCCTGCGTATCTGAAGCGGCTCCCCGTGCCTGAAAGCATTACCGGGTTTGCTCGGCTTACAGGTAACCCCCTCCCCGTCGGTCAGGCCCCATCCTCACGTCCCCGGTGGTGGCGGGTGGTGGGGCCAGCACGTCGGGCCAAGGGGCGGGGCGAGGCTGGCCGAGCGGCCGGTGACCCTTGACCCCCAGCGTTGGGAGGTGAGCGAGCCGAGGTGCCAGGGCTTCCTAAGAGCGTGCGACGCCACCCCGCGGCGCGGGGCGGCCCTCTCGCCAGTCCCCTTTCATGGCGAAGGACCGGGCTTTCACAGGCAAGATGCCGAGGGAGCGGGCCAGTCTCACCTCCTGCACCTGTCCCGCATCTGTCCGGACCGGCGCACTCTGCACTGTGCTGCCTTGTTCTGCAACAGGCCAACTCCTCGTCATCTAAAACCCAAACCCCCAAGCTCAGTGCCATCGAGTTGATGCCGACTCGTAGTGGCTCTGTAGGAGAGGGTAGAAGTGCGCCTGCAGTTTCCGAGACCAACTCCTCACGGGATTAGGAAGCCACGCCTTTCTCCCGCGGAGTCACTGAAGGTTAGGTACTCTGGATGGGTCTTTGCGCCTCGGCTCAAAATACAAGGAGTAGCCACTGCCTCCCATGCAATGGGCCTTCTCTGTAATGGGCAGCTCGCGCACCAGTGGATTTTACCCCTGTGGAAGGGAGTGAGTGTCGTAAAGAAATACGGACACAGCACGGTAACACATATGTGGCTGTGTTATTAGGAGCATAAAATAACCTTGATCCATTCCCAGGGCATCTGGGGTCATTTCCATTACTCTGGGGCTTGGGCAGCTGAGGTGACTCAGGTTGGACAGAAGATAAACTATCCAGAAAGCATTCAAACACTGGCCTGCGGGGCCATAGCTCACAAATGGAAACTGAAGGATGAGCTACAAAATCCCACAATTTATGATTTCACAGTTACTGATTCACAGTCTCTATCCGGAATGCAGACACTTGGAACCGTTTGTTTGTTTCTAGGTATTACATAGTAAAGAGGGGATGCCAGTAAATCAGACTCATAGAGTAGGGTGGTGAGGAACTAAGGCCATAATGAATTAACAAATACAGAGAAGCCCTGCTTGGTCAGTGGGTTAAGCATTGGACTGCTAACCAAAAAGTGCACTTCAAACCCAGCTACTCAAGGGAGGAAGGTCTGCTTCCCTAAAGGTTTACAATCGGAGGTAACTGAATTGGAGCCAGCGTGGGGAGTTATGCAGTAAGTGTTAGGTAATGGTCTGCTAAGACCCGCCAGGCACCCTCTTGCACTGTGGGAGAAAATCTGGTGATCTGTTGCCCCTATAGGGCAATTCTACACTATACTTGATTGTAGCCAAAAGACTGAGAAGCGATATGGGGCAATTTTACTCTGTCAGGCAGGGGCAATTTGAGTCAGGATCAACTCTGAGTCACACAGCAGTATGTTGTAATAGATTCACAGCAATTATGTCAAGCATTTATACTTTTATTTCGTTTACATAAATGTACACATTTCAGTGTAATTACATTATTCTAACAGCTGTATAAACATATTAACATCACTATATGCTTTTATTCCTAATGTACTAGTGGTAAGTAGCTCTCTATCAGGTGCCTTTCTCTATCAGGTGCCTTTTTCTGCGATAACTTATACCCTTGAAAGTGTAGTCATGAAAGTGGTCATCCCAGGTCAAAGTGATTTGATCGTTTTGTGACATTTGTTCCTTGTTGCTAATGTGCCATGCTGATGATTGGCATAAATCAACTGATGAATTTTTAACATTCAAGAAAGAAAAATATTCCCTATTTCTACCTAAATCCAGTATAACCTGAATTGTATGACTTGATTCTGATAGTAGCTAACTTTATATCATTTTTAGTTTTGTGTTTTAAGTGTACCTTAAGCTGATTAGGAAGTGTAGTACTTATCGCTTCACAGTTACAGTCTCATAAACTCACAGTTCTTCCCTGCCCTACAGGGTCATTATGAGTATTGACATGATGGCAATGAGGATTTTTTTTCCTTATGAAGTCTTAACAAGACAATAACAATAACCAGTTGCTTTTGAGTTGCTCACCACTCATGATGACCCTGTGAATGTAAGAGCAGAGCTGGGAGTCATGGAATTTTCAATGGCTAACTCTTGGAAGTAGATCACTAGACCCCATCTTCCAAGAAGTAATAGCATATACTTTGTCCCATTGCATAGTGTTTACAATTTAGTTCTCGCCGTGCTTGATTATTTATTTATTCAGGAATTTATTATTTATTCAGGAAGAAGTCTAATTGTAGTAAACGCATTGTGAATAAAATGAGTTAGTCTGTTTCTCAGTGCAGAATCTGTTTTAGAATACCATGGAAGAAAAACTTAAGTGGCCATTTTTCACTATTAATCTCTTCAAAAGAGGTTATAACATTTAACGCTTCTGAATGAGATATGCATGGAGCCCATTATGTAGACCTTTGTTGGACCAAAAATAGGAAAGACAACTTTTTCAGCAACTATTTAAAGATTGAGAAAATATTTTCATTTTCCATCTTTGCAAATAAGAGCAAAGGAGGATACAATCATATTAGTGCTATTTTTCTTCCCTATTTTGACCTTGCAGGTTTTTTTTTTAAGCAATTAACTCTCTCATGATGACTCTGCATTCTTAGTAAACACATGGAGAGTCTGAGTTTCCGGGCAGTATTTAAATATAGATAATCCTTAGTGATCAGACACAATTTATTTAGGTCAGATTTTCTAAGAGTCAGGTTTCTAAAATAAATAAATGTGATCCCGTCCTTTGGAAGTACAGTGTATTCTATCTAATAGTTCAGTTTTAAATAAGAAAGAGAGAAAAACATGCCCAGTTAGCTTGTAGAGCTTCATAATAGAACAAAAGTAACCTTGCCATTCAGTCATTTATTTCAAGATTTAGAAGCTAGCCATGACACTTTGAAAGTAGTTCTTGTCCACTTGAGCTAGTTGACTTCTTTAAAATAAAGGTTTTTACTCATAAAAGACAAAGGAATGAATTTTAAGACTTTTATTATGATTTTTTCCTCGGATGTACACATACATTAGAGCTGATTGCTCTAAAGACAGTTGTGTTATTCAGAAGTGGAATAGAATTGCCAGTATCTTCTACAAAAGATCGGTACTAGCGTGTTTATAGGAGCCATGTTCACATAGCTAAAAACGGACACGCACCTACCAACATAAGAATCCATATGGTGGAAAACATAAGTTTGAAAAGGAACAAATTATTGATACTTTGGGAAATTTTCAAAAAAAATTATGTTGTGTGGAAGACACTTTAATTAAATCAGTTATGGGGAGTAGAAGAGCAGGGGGTTACTTTCTGAAGTGAGAAACATTTACATATTATTTGCTGTGTGGCTGTAGGGATGCATTTAATGGTCAAGTTCTTAGACCTAAACAGACCTCTTCATTTAAATTTAAATTGGTATTTTAAAATTTCCTCAATTTTTAAAAAGACGACATAATGGAATTAAAGGTGAGTTTTTAGGTAATTACACTTTCTGTGTGAAAATGGCGCAGAGGCCGTTGTGATGGCCACACACAACTCTCAGCTAGCTCTCATGGTTTTGGAAGTTTACTAGGGAAGTTTACTGTTTACTACAAAGCACTGTTTACTATAAAACAGTAAAGATACACTCTTTGGTTATTGATTGATCAGTGCTTTTTCCAGACTAAGAACAGACAACGAAGAAGTCTCAGCCCCCACATTGGAGGAAGTAGCCCCTGAAAAGCTTGGTCTCTGATTCCCAGCCTCTCAGTCACATGGCCCTTTGGCCTCTGTCTTCCTTTGCCAGGAAGTCTGCCTATTGCTCTGCCTCCCAGTCTCTTCGTGTCAGTGCTGATCCTCTGCTCTGTTACAGGGGTTACTCCCCTTGGTCTCTGGTCTCAGCATGGCATGGCATCTGCTGCGTTTGCCGCCTCAGGCAGGGACCTTTTTTTTGGTTTGTTTGTTTGTTTTAAATTATTTTATTGGGGGCACGTCCAACTCTCATCACAATCCATACAACCATCCACTGTGTCAAGCACATTTGTACATATGTTGCCATCATCGTTTTCAAAGCATTTTCTTTCTACTTGAGCCCTTGGTATCAGTTCATTTCCCCCCCCCCCCCTTCCTCCTCCTCCCTCCCTCATGAGCCCTTGATAATTTATAAGTTATTATTAATTTTTCATGTCTTGCACTGTCCGATGTCTCTCTTTACCTCCTTGTCTGTTGTCCATCCCCCTGGGAGGGGGTTATAGGTAGGTCATTGTGATTAGTTCCCCTTTTCTCCCCCGACCTTCCCCTTCCCTTCCTGGTATGGCTACTCAATATGGCCCCGAGGAGTTTATCTGTCCTGTATTCCCTGTGTTGCCAACTCTTATCTGTATCCATGTACATGCTCTGCTCTAGCCAGATTTGTAAGGTAGAATTAGGGTCATGATAGCAGGGGTGGGGGTGGGGGGAGCATTAAAGAACCAGAGGAAAGATGTATGTTTCATCGGGGCTATACTGCATCCTGACTGGCCTGTGTTCTCCCCATGACACTTCTGTAAGGGCATGTCCAATTGCTTACAGATTGGCTTTGAGCCTCCGCTCCGCACTCCAACTCATTCACATTATGATTTTTTGCTCTGGGTCTTTGGTGCCTGGTCCCCGATCCCATTGACACCTTGTGGTCACACAGGCTGGTGTGCTTCTTCCATGTGGGCTTTGTTGCTTCTGAGCTAGATGGCCGCTTGTTTACCTTCAAGCCTTTAAGACCCCAGACGCTATATCTTTTGATAGTCGGGCACCATCAGCTTTCTTCACCACATTTGCTTATGTGCACCCATTTTTGTCTTCAGCGATCGAGTCGGGAAGGTGAGCATCTCAGAGTTCAGCCAGGGATCTTCAAAGTGCTTCATTGGTGGTCCCAGGAATTCCCTCCTGCTTTTGAGATGCTCTCTTACATGTGGAGGAATGGTAACCCAAACTGGCCAATCTCCACCATCCCCCTCTCCGATCTCCAGTAGTGTTTTTTACTCATTATTTG